TACACTGTTCAAAACGGAGCTTTGAGGAGAGCTGAGTGCTTTTCTGCGTGATCAAAATTAATAGAACGAAAGTTAGCTGCTGGCGTTTGACATAGCAGAGCATAGCAATTAGCTAAACCGCCCATTCGGCCATAAGGGCGGCATATGTTTACAAGTTGAATGGACTTTAGCGCCTTGCAACTTCAAATGCATATTTGGAAACTTCTATTGATAGGTAAGTGTTTACCCATTAGGAAAAATTTAAAATAACTTTTATTGAAATTTATATGTGAAGTTATCTTACCTTTTGATAAAATCTAAATATCCAAGTAATAAGAGTAATTCACTTCGGACGATTTAACTATTAAACTACCAGATTGATATTACATATTTCTCAACGACAAAACTTCTCGCGAGCTGGTTCAGGAACAAAGATGACATATTGACCAGCAATAAGAAGTAAAAGATGTAACAATGTTAAAAAGTATAAACAGCTTCTTAAAATATATGGCTTTTAACTAGCGCAATGAAATACGAGTATTACAAAAGTTTACTAATATATATTAGAATTTTAAGAGTTTTGCATTATCTTTCCTAAATCTGTTATACTCTTTCAACCTGTTGTCTAGATCAGTGGTTGGAAAACTTTTAAATGTCAATGAATTATATTGTGATAATATGTGCATGTTGAGAGCTATTCAACTATCCTAATGGTACTAATTACTGGGATGGAGCGAAAAAAGTTTTTTTTTGGCTTAGCCTGTGGGTAAAATTTGCAGCTTATAAAAAAAGAAAATTTTGGACAAAAAAAAAAAATTTTTTTAACATCTAGAGACTTTCAAGTAAATTTCGAGTTAAAATTTTATTTGGACAACAAATTTTGGATAAGTGTTCTAGAAGCTGTGGAGAGTCCTCTTTCTGCTCAATTAAAAGTTATCAACTTAAAAAAATTGTTTATGCTCATTATTGGAGTTATAAAAAAAAGTCTTAAACGACAACATGCTTTCTTTCAGCGTTAAAATAATTTTTTTTTCTAAAAAAAATTTTAACTTGAAATTTACTTTAAAAGTGAGTGGACCTCTAGATATTTAAAAAAGTTTTTATTTTCCAAAATTTTCTGTTTTTATAATCTACAAAATAGCACCAATTTTTTAACAATTGATTTTTATGACAATTTTTGAAAACTCCCGTTCGAATTAATAACACAATTAGTTACAATATGATTTTCGAGTATTAAGTAGTGCTGATCTTCTGACTCCAGTTTTTTAATACAACAATTTTCTTGCTACTGCCCGGCTTATATAATATATATGTACCTGACACACTGTATGTTAAAAAATTTACCAAGTACTCAATTGTTAATATAACTTTTCTATAATGTATGTCCGTATATATTTTAAAAGAACGAGAAGAGTTATATTAATACAATAATAAATGCATTTTTAAGAGCTTAATATAATGGAAAAGTCCAATTTTCGAACCTTCTACAAAAATAATAGTAATTTTTATATTGAAATTGTATATTAGATCTCGTCTAAATTATTAATTGTTGCTGTTTCACACTCAACCCAGTTTAGGTACCTTATCGCGTCTGGCGAGTGTTATTCTAACCGCTGAAGCACCGAACCAGCAAGTATCAAATTTCATAAACATCCACAGGGTGGAGTAGGTGTCCATGGTGAGCGGAAGAGTAGCGTGGCAAATTAAGGTGAATTAGAGTAGAGTTAAGTGCAGTTGAAGCAAAATTTAACTCATCACCTAGTTTTGTTGTTGCAATGGTTGCAATAATGAAGCATTTTGAAAGTTCCCTAATTTTTGCAACTCGGAAAAAATTGGAGTAGGTATGCGAGAATTAAAATCTGCGAAGTACTTATTACGGTAAAGTGCTGAGAAAGCGGCTTTTCTACGCTACAAACTTGTTTTGCGTGCGTTGTGGTTTGGCGCTGTTACAAACATACACACACATTTGTATGTGGGCATTAATGTATGTGCAGCATCCTAATTTACACTGCTATGATTTGCAACAGTTTGCTAACTCCACCGCTTCCCTGTCGCTCTTTGCTTATAGGCAGTATCTGTGAGCGCAGGTGTTTGTTTATTTACTAGACTGGCAATAAAATTTTCGCTGCTAACTAAATCATGATTCTCCTGAATTTGCGTTTGAGGTATTTATTTGAAAAGTAGAGAAGAAACCGTGCGAAAGCATGCTAAAGTTTGAAGCGCACTTTTATTTTTTATTTTTTTGTTTTACTTACCACTTTAAAATGCATTTGGTGCTGTACTTGTTTCATTACTGTCTTATTTTATTTGTTAATTTGCTGTAGAAATTTCAACCGATACTTAAATTGCTGCAATTTTCTTCTGAAACTGTGAAGCATACTTATAGGCGCTTAATTAGTAAACCATTGCATTTCAAGTGCATTCAGAGTTCTAGTCTCTTCAATTGCTTTGCTTCTTCAAAAACCCACCTCAATTTCTTGTTTTCTTTCAGCAGCAACTCGACTAGTTGGCTATTTGTTCGAAAAGGGCAGAGTGTAAATTAAACATATAGTTCATTACTTTTAATAAAATAGGAAAGAGGCCTTAAAAACTATTGATGTGCAGTATTGCCACCAGTGTTACTATTTTACTTCGCATAATTAATTTAATATTTGGTTAAAATGAAAGCAATGTTAGTATAAAGTGAAAAGTGACTCAATCAGAAAATTTTCGCCGGAGATTATACCGTTGCCTAAGGAAATAATCCGAGCTAAACTTTGTGAAGATATCTTGTCAAATAAAAATGGTTTCTGTACAAGGCCTTTATTTTGATCGGTCACTTTGTATGACAGCTATATGTTATAGCGGTAGCAAAGAAAGAGCAGCGTGTTGAGGTGACATCGACGTATTCAAAACGTCAAATCGATAACTCAAAAATAGAGGGACTAGTTTGAGTATATACAGAAAGACGGACGGACAGACAGACAGACATGCCTAAATCAACTCAGCTCGCCAAGCTGATCACGTATGTATATACTTTGTGGGGTCTCCGACGCTTCCTTTTGGGTGTTACAAACTTCGTAGCAGACTCTGTTCAGGGTATAATAAGTTAAAACAGCTTTATTCGGTGAACCATCTTGGCTCTGCAGAATAGCGCTTAATATGTATATTTTTCAATTATTTTATTGCGTAATCATTGAAAATAGGAATCCACACTCGCAGAACGTTGTCTTATAATCCTGTTTTCAAATTCTTTTCAGATATTCGTTATTCGTTATGTAACTCTAAGTGTTTCATATCTCAGTTCCGGCAACATGGTTGGAGTCAGCTTCCTGTTGGAAGCTTCAACCCTACATAAACACCAATTTATCTGCAGATTATCTCAAATTATCTCTTGACTGATCTAGGTATAACGTACTTTATTATTTATGTTTCGATAAGAACAAACTCTCTTACTCCAGACCCCGACTTACAATCCACACCGGACTCTGTGCGTAACTGTAAGAGTTAAATTTTATTGCTGTTATTGTAAAACATATATATGGTATTTTGAAGGACGCTGTCGAGTATAGAGTTCTTGATCGGATAGATACCTTTCAGTTTCGCAACCAGGAAGTAAATTTTACGACAGTAGTAGTTCTTGATTTTTGTGTCATCACAGCCAAGCCAGTTAAACTGATTGTCGCAGTGACTAAAACCATTGCGGTCATACAATAATATAATATTTTTTTCTCATTAACAAAATATAATTTTATTGGAAAAGGGTTAGAAAAAGTATGAAATTTTTTGTGTTTTTTTTTTAACTTAAATTCCCTTGAGTAACTGAAAATATATCAATTCAATTTTACAATATATTTAATATTCATTACGTAATTGTATGCAATCAAAGCCTTCTCAGTTTTTAGCTCTAGAATCGTTTAATAAATTAATAGAAATTTCGTCAGTAATAATCCATAATTTTTTAAGTTAATTAAAGCATTGAGAGCTTATCTAAAGTGAATATTTGCTGCTTATATCCAACATATTTAAGAACGGACAAGCATATCGAGAATCTTGAAATGAGCATTTAATTAATCAAATCACCAAAATTAGATATAACTTAAACTCAACCAATAAATTTATCATTACGTGGAAGGGCATAGTTAATAAATATAAATGTTAATATTTCCACATAAATTATTTAACTTAATTGACATTTTGCAATAGCACAAACTCGTTTCGTACTCCAAATTACTTGGGTATGCATTTACTACGCGCTTAATTAATGAAATTAAAGTAGAAAGCTACTCACATGTAATGCAACACGTTTCCGGCAATTTACTTATTATTACCTATTAATATTGCAAGCAACGATAGCGTATTGCATACCAAACGGGCAAGATTAAATAAACATGTGTGAGCGAGGAAATAAATTTTAGTCGAAACTATAAATTTCAATAACCTTACTTATACAAAAAGAAAATTAAATTAATATAAATGACCATATGGTTGTGCGTTATATGAAGTTTTTTTTAACTATACTCTCCATATTCCAAACCAACTGCACATGCTACACAACAGGATTTTACTTATATTTTCTGGAATTATACTGCTTATTTCCATTCATTAAAATCATCCAGTATGGCACTAATGAGACTGGTTGGGCTGGGAGGTGAACTAGACATATCCTCTTATAAGAGCCTGATATCGCTGGGAGAAGAACTAGTCCCATTAATTTTTGGTCGTTTGTCCAAATGGTTCCTCTTAAGTAGGCTATACTGATAAGTTCGCGGTCCAGATTCTAAAAATTAGATTCCAATTTTTTAATCCAAGATGTTCGGATTAAAGATTAAAATTTTATTTTTTAATCCAAGATGTTTTGGATTAAAAATTTAACATTAATAAATAAAATTTTTTGATTTGAATGAACGCGAATAAATTTTAACTCTAAAACAAATATAATTTGTTTAATTCTTAATTGAAATTGTTTGAGTTAAAAAATGTTCTTTTTCATTTTTCAATCCTGTAGTTGGGATTAAACTTTTTTTATTTTTTATTTTGGTATGAGCGATTAAAACCTTTTTTATTTTTTAATACTGTATTTGAGATTACAAAAAAAAATTTATGTTATTTCAATTATGTGTTTAATGCATTTTTTGTAATCCTGAAAGCCACGTATTCCGATTTAGAGTTGAATACTCAAATTCTGCAAAATTTTTTTTTTGGTTAAAAACATTATCAAATGATTTATAAATAAACATAGCTGTAGCTTATAAAGTTAGGATTAAGCTGGCTAATGTATGCTGTAGTAGAAATACGAATTAATGACTGGAAATTTTAAGTGCATCATTGAAATATTAACTAATTTTTGCCGCTAGGGAAACTTCTATGATACAAAATTAAATATTCTTATAAGGGTCCCGCATTCATACTACTCTCAGGGTAACTAAAAATAAGACAGCGTGAATTTTACCCCTACCACATGAACCCGTAAATGTGCAATTTCCAATTTCACTTTAATTTAACGTCCATTTACTCCAGATTACGTACACTGTAGGGTGTTAATAAAGTTATTTATCTGAAAAAACATTAGTATCACTTTGCTTATACATATGTATACTGGGTGTGTAAGATGTGTATACAACACTTTATATAGTTTGTGTCTTCTTCCGCTATCTATTTACGAATGTTATTCACTTACTTACACACATGTATACATATATGGTATTTCGACACTTCTACAAGCGAACTTGTGTAAAAGTGCGCTGCTTGAGTTAGTTTATCAGTCCGTTGCGTGCAGTGGAGGCTAGTGATTGATGACATCGATAAGTTGTTATAAATTGCAATGATTTCTCCTGCTCTTTGTGATCCAGTGAACTTGTAGCAGCTTGTCGGTAGCAGCGCCTGTTTTTGCGCACATTTTCAAATCGCCACACTCACTTTTCTCTAAACTATTACGCCCGCGCAACAGTCGTTCTATGAGCATGCCGAAAATTCCACGTGCTCACGTAGTCGCCCGCTACAGCCTTTTGTTTTGCTCTATGTGCCGTTTGGAGTCGACACGTCGTATGCGCAACGTACATTCAATACTAGAAATGTTTGCAACGTTTTATTTGATTTTATCTGTGACTCAGTAGAGAAGCTGCGTTGTTTTCTTTTGAAAATTGCCAAGCAATTAAAATAAAGGATGTTTTTTACGTTGTCTTTGCTCAGATCTATCCATAGAAGCACTTACAATTTTGGTTGAAGTTATATTGTTTATTCGCGTTGACCGCAACTCCGCAACAAAGCTGAAATCAAGGAAATAAAAGTAAATGCTTGCAACATCAATTACAAGGGAATTCAATCTGGCATACATGCCATCTCCGCTTTCGTTCACATACACACTTACCCTTCATCAGACTTAGCTGCAATCGTTAGCATTTCCTACTAGTTGCCGCTTGTGGTTCCACGCATTTTATTTGACTCACTCGGTCGACAAGTACACCACAGAGTTTTGGTTTCTCTCATGCATTATGCATGTGTGAGAATGCTCTGATATTCGTGCACACAATTTTCAAATACTTTTAAATTTCGCCATTGCCTTCCCTAATATGCTGCCAGCTGCCGTATGCAACGACATAATGCCCAATGCAAAATATTTTTAGCCAGTTGTCATTGGTATATCTGTCCGCATACTCAAAGTTTTTTTTATGTGGATTGTATGAAAGTGTGTACCTGCGTGGTTTTTGGGCTCCGTAGGGTACGGAATAGTACAGAAATTGCTCCTAAATAAGTGCTTTAGCAATTTAGTCCCCTATTACCCTACCACCTTAGGTAGGGTAAATATAGTTTAAGCAGAAAACCACAAAAATTAAGCTAAAACTAAAGATATTAGGTGATTTGCGAAATAGGTCGTGAACGGAAAGAAGAAAAATGTGAACCGGCGTGTTGAAAATTGAAGACAATGCATTGAATATTGAACAGTTGACATTTTCTTCGAGCTTCATAATAATAATACATGAATTGTCATCAGTCTGGTTGTCTTTACGGCATATATATCGGGTACTCACATGCCTTAGTAAAAATCGAATTTTGAGTATTTCATTCGAATATATGTAGGCCTTTCCTATATTTTAGGATATCTCTCAATTTCATTAAAAATTCAGAATTAGAATATTTGAATATTTTATGGGAAGAATAATATTTACGTTTCTAATTCAGTTATGCTACTAAATATGTATGTGCTTAGAAAATATAAATATCTCACGATTAGTTTAAACCCATTTGAAAAAGGTTAGTGTACATATCTCATAAATTTCTAAACCTATGATAATTAAACTCATTTGGAGTATTTGTTTCGCCAATTAACACTAGAATGTAAATCCTAAATAAAAATAAATAAATTGGAACGTGCCTTCTCTAGCCATCAACAACGATTACAAGGATCGCCATCTTCCCGGTGGTCTTTATGACATGTATATTAGGCAATAAGTGAGTTCAGTTCCATACACACAATATAATTATTTTCAAACCTTTTGTGATTTTACTATATTTATACTATAAAATTATGAATATGTAGTATTTTGTAATATTCGTATTTGGTTTCCCATAAAACCGAATATACATATATTTTTATGCAAAACTGTATTCTCATATTTTAGTTTATTATAGCAATTTATTTTAGTTTATATTATGGCATTTTAAATTCTAGTTTTGTTTCACTCAAATTATGGTTCAAATATTTGTTAAAAATATAAACGACGTTATTGATTTTCAAAATATAATTATTTACGTTAAGATGACTTAATAAAGCATGCCGCGTGTTACTGTTACTTCAACCCTGTACAACAATAATGCTGTTACAAAAAAAGATACTTCCATAAAAAATTTCCCTTTTTTTCATCCTTTAATTTCAGAAAAATTAAAGTTATGTGGAAGAGCCATAATTTTAGATTTATGAATTTGTAGAAAAGCTTTTATGGGTTTACAGAGTTTTATATGTCATAAAATATCAAAGCTAATTATTTAAATACTTAGACTGGAAACCAGATATTAGAAGCTGCAGCTGTTTGAGCTTACGGAAAATTATGATGTGCTGTTGTTTACCAACTGTTATATTTTATAGCTTAATTAGCTTTTATTTCTATCAATATCTGCTTTTACTTTACAAATATAAAAAGCTTGCTAACTTACAGTCCACAAGATAGAGAGATTTACTCAAGAGAAATTAAGTTAACTCGTCTTAAAGCTCTAAGCGACAACTTTTATGGCAAAGCTTTGAGAGACACAAGAGTTCAAATAAGTTCGCTCACGCAGTGAAAGTATATACTTTAAGAGAAACAAAAGCTCGCCGGGATGATATGTTCAAGTAAAATTAAGTAAATTCTTATTAAAGCTCTAAAGCGCCAGCTTTTAGGCAAACGAGTTCAAGGAAGTTAGCTCATACAGTTGAAGTATATGTTTTAAATATAATTTAAGAGAAACAAAAGCTGGCCGGAATGATAAAAAAAAATACAAAACGATTTACTTATTATGATACGTATTTCAAGATTAATATTTTCAACGGTTGAATTTCAAGAGTTTTCTAAAATGTATGTGGCAAGCCTTGAGCTTCTAACTACAAAGATATTTAATTTTCCCTTTGTCACGTTGATTTATTATTTTTACTGTTAGTAGTGTCGTTAGATAAGTATGGTTAAATTCTTCTATTTTATAATTACTTTTTACTTAGCCCTTTAAGAGATGAAAACCGAATGTTAACCATTGAATTTCTTCCAAGGGGTATCACCAAAGTTTTATCTTTAACTTAAGCTTCGATAGAGGCTATTCTATGAAGAAGCTTGATGGAGAGTCTCTTAATGAGATCCGCAAAATGTACTCTCTAAATCAGAGTTGCTCGCGCCGTAGCTCACTTGGCTCGCAACAACATCACTTACAATAAACACTGCGTTTTTTGTAAACAGTATGCGAAATGATCACAGCAAGCAAGCTAGAACCGTCTGGTTCGCGGTGTCTTATTCAAAACCAGCAACACAAAAATCTATCCTTGGATCGCATACGTTTAGCAATGGACTTGTTGTTGTACTGGTCATTGCAATGTTGTTCATTAGGAACATAGTTTTGAGTCGAAGTATTTTTTGTCATTCTGAGAACTAAGTTGTTGTAATTATACCCTGAACAGGGTATATTCAGTTTGCCACGAAGTTTGTAACTCCTAAAAGGAAACGTCGAAAACTCTATAAAATATATACATAAATGATCAGCGTAATGAGCTGAGTTGATTTAAACATGTTCGTCTGTCCGCCTGTCTGTATATACGCGAACTAGTCCCTCAGTTTTTAAGCTATCGATCTGAAATTTTGATTCTGTCCTTTCCTCACTAAGAATCTGCTCATTTGTCGGAACGGCCAATATGGGACCACTATAACACACAAACTGAACAATCGGAATCAAGTGCTTGTATGAAAAGATTTTCGATTTGACGTAATATCTTCATAAAATTAGGCATATTTTTGAAGGGTTTTATGCCGTGTTGTCATGTGGTTAGCTCTATATGTTATTCGCAAACTGTTGTATTTGTGCTGATAGAACAACTGTACATGTGGGTGGCCTAGTATTATTTTCGCTAACAATTTTTTTTAAATATCAAATTCTCCTATTGCGTCACGTATACAAGGATAACTTTTTTTTCAGGTTAACACTGGTTTTTGAAAATATAGTTTACTCTGTTGTTACAGAATCTCCACTTAAAAAACTTGCTCAAAATACACAACAGTTTCGTTATGTCATATGTATATTTAAAACATAAACAAATAATGTGAGATTTTCTAGGAGCGTACGCATTCATATTTATTTTTAATATTCATTGGACTCTTTAGTGTTTTATTCTTCAGTTGAATATTAAAAATTCTGTACAAATATTGCCATATATCTGAGTTCGTTATCATCTAAAAAGCTGTAAAAAATCTACATAGACTCTTTTGTAGAAGCTGCGCGAAAAATATGCATTGTAATAAATCTAAAAATATTTGCGTGTTTTCATAATTTTGCATAAAAAATACAAACATGAACATGAACGCAACAAAAGCAGAAATAAAAGGGCAGTAAATGAACTCACATATACATACAGAAATAAATGTAATAAAATGCGACAAAATTTGTGCCAACAAATTTCAGTAGCTCAGTCAAAGGAGGTGGCCAAATGGAGATCACACACATAATACCACACAAGTATCCACTAACTATCCTGTACACACTTACACTGTGCATACGTGCATGTAAAAATTAGTAGAAAACTACGCGCATAGCAGCGAACAAATGTGGCGTTCATGCAAATTCGGTTAGACCAACACTCAAGTTTATTGCTGTATATATGAAGAGTACAAAGGGTGTGCACTTATGTGTATGTGCTTGTGACTGGGTATGAAATGTGGCGCTTAAATCTACAACGACTCTAACAAATTACGACAAAAAGCGTAGCAAATCGAGCCAAAAATGCCAACAAAAGTAATAACCACGACTACTGTAAATACTAATATGAAAACACTCGCATTTGTAATAACCGCTAACGTTGGTGTCACTGACAGCGCCCCAAATGGTGGTGGTGGTAGGGGCTGCAGGCTGGTGTGTGGGCATACAAGAATTTTATGATTGTTGCTTCATTTGCAAAGCGATTCTAAAGCTGCTGCATCTAAAACGAGAAATCTAATAGATGAGCGCGATAAAATGTAAACATACTTTGGGGCGCTTAACCACATATTGCGGCACCATGTCGAAATAAGGCTTCCAGATTGCTTTGAATTAATATTTATAAGTATATACGAATATATGTAGCTTTAAATGAAACACGGAAATATGCAAATTTTATGGCGATATTTTTTACATCAACTATAGCGCGTCGAAATATTAATCAGCGTAGTTATGATCTGAATTTCTGCTGACACTGCCAAAGGAATCCGTTCACACTTGCAGAATTCCTGCTGTTATTACTTGCTCAGTTTCGTTGCCTTCACTACAGTAGTACACTGGTGGTGGTAGATCACCCGCTTTATGTCGAAACATGGCGAAATAGCAATTTACTTCAAGGGATATTATTGAATTTGTGAATTTTTCAACTCTAATGCAAGGGAGAAACAAATTATGTTATTTTATATAAGTAATGAAATTCCTTGCTGCTACTACATGCTTGCTTTTGGTATTTTTTTATTGCTTGTAAGGCTGTGAGTCCAATTTAAAAGTGAAACTATTTTGTGTACCACTCTGTTGCAAGAATTTCTCTTAAGGTTAGTCCAACAAAATTTTTATATTA